CCTCTGGTCTCTTTTTGATGGAAGTTGTTCTTGTGTTACATCTTTCTCTCCATTGCTCTATCTGTCACGTCATTCCTCTTTTGTCCTCTTTCCCACTCTGCCTCTGTTTCATGTCTTCTGCAGAAATGAAATGTGGCCCTAAGCAAAATCACTTTCATTTCAGAGAAGGGCTTCATTTTCTGTTAGGATTTCTGAAGACGATGAATGGATGGAGACCTCCAACTTCCCTTTCAATTCTGGAACTCAGCATGAAGATTGCTGGATGGAAATCTCATATTGTTTTTCTTGTAGAAGCATTTTCCTAGGGAAGAAGAGAATGTCTTTGATCAAGAGTAGTGACTCACATCACATACCTAATGGTATTCACTAGAGAATTCCCAAATCTTTATCAATAACATCAATTTAAGTCGGGGAAAACCAGGAAACAGACATGAGATCAATCTTTGTATTCTCTGCCCTAATGGTATTCAGAATAGGGTCTAAGTAATAAGAAAGAGGAGACTCCCCTAAAAAAAAAAGGGGGGGGCTGGGGACACGGCTCACTAGAATAAGTGCTTCCCTGGCAAGAGCAAGGGCATGAGTTCAATCCCCAGTTCTGCAAAAAAAAAAAAAAGAAAAAAAAAAAAAAGAAAAAAGAAAAAAAAAGAAAGAAAGAAAAGAAAAGAAAGAGGAGACCAAAAAAACAGGATCACGTATCTCAGTGGCAGAACAACCCTCTTCTAGTCCTCCCCAAACTGGCATTTATGAAGTCCGAGGAGAATAACATGGGAGGATCACTGAGAGTTTGAGGCCAGCCTATACCACATAGTGAGTTCAAGGCCAGACCAAACTGCATAGCAGGATCTTGTCTCAAAAAAACAAAATAGGGATTCGATCCCTGGCACCACAGGGAGCACTGAAACTGGACATGGTGACACACATTGTAATCCCAGAGCTGAGGAGGCTGAAAACAGGAGGATTACTACCAGTCCGAGCTGTGTAGTGAGACCCTGTACCAAATACATTAAAAATAAAACACACACACACACACACACACACACACACACACACAGAGCATTAAACCTTATGAACAACAAAGTGTCTTTGTATTTTAGGCTTGATGCTCACCCCCTGGTGCTTTTGATTTGGCTTTATCGTTTGATTACTTGAAAAGCCAGGGTTCATGTTTTTGCTTGCTGTTGGCTTTGTGATGATTCAACCTAAACACTCTCATGACTTTAATGAGTGTAATGTTAGACACTGATTTTACTACTTCTATATGTGGAACATCTGTTTTGTTTTCATTTCACAAATATACCTTAAGAACCACAGAAACTTCTTGTATGGAAGACAGATTTGTATCTACCACTCAGGAGTTTCTGCATCTTTTTTTTTCTTTTGGTGGTACCAAGGATTGAAATCAGGATCTTGCAGTTGCCAAGCAGTCACTTATGCCACTGAGCTATCTCCCTGGCCCATATGGGCATACTTGATGCACATTGCTGGTCCCTGAGGGAAGGCAGCAAAGACTTGTAAACACTTGTCATTCTCTGGAAAAACTGGAGCTAGAGGTGACCAAGGCTATCTGGTTAGGGAATAGAAAGGGGAATGCTGGAAGATTTGGTTTTTTGGGCAGAATTGAAAGTTTACAGATAGCTGTTCTTTGTCCACTTGCAAATGTGAAAATGCAGAAAGCCTCTCGTTTGCCAGATACCTTGGTACCAAACTGAAGTATCATTTTCACCAAGTATGTTAGTTGTGAATTTGGAAGTTAAAAATGTAGCTCTAAGTAGATGAAATTCCAGACTTTTCTTTTGGTTTTCTGTTACCTTAATGTTGGCTGCATCTCTCATTTTAACATGTGTGAAGATGTTAAAGGTTGTCTTCATCCAAAAAGATCACAGCCTAATTAATAATAATGAAAAATTATCTTTTAAGCCTAATAAACATTCTCAGACTCAGTAATTAAATACAAGTTGAAACAAACAAAAGCTCTGTTCACTCTATATATTTCCATACCAGTAAATGCCATGTTAAAGTAATTTATTGGCATCTAGCAGAAGCCATCTGCTGTTTTATAGAGGCCACAGAATCGTAAGAATTTAGAGCTGGAAGAGCCTTGAAGAGTCTGTAATTCAGCCTCCTCATTCCACAACGGAAGAAACAGTGGCGCTGAGAGGCTGAGCCAGGTGTTCCCGGACTCCGGTCGGTACTTAACTTCTCTCCAAGGACAGAAGCCCACAATATTGAAAGCACGGCACTGGCCCATGTGAGTCTATAACACTAAATGAAAATGCTAGACTCCATTCAAGTTCGGGGCATCTGACCCAAGAACTTTTAAATAACGATACGTTGTCAAGAACAAAATAGTTACCAAGACTCCGGACAGTTTCTGGACCTAAAGCCAAACAGCAGTTAAGGAGCACGACAATGACAACTGCCAGACTCTGGGCTGGGGCTTACGGCTCTCCCAGTGATTTCCCTTTCTGCGGTGCAGAAGACCACAGTTATTTAAGACCCGCACTCGAAGCCAAAGCATCGGTGGCTAGGCCGGGCCGGCCGCGGCCGCAAGCCCACCAGCCGCGCTTGCTCGCCCCCCGGAGACGCCGCCGTGCGCACCGTGCGCACCGGGCTCTGCCCGGCCCGAGGGCGAGCGCCTACCTGGCTCGCTGTGCCCTCCTCGCCCTACCCACCCCGCCGGC